GCGGAGAAGAACGCAACTGATAACCCCTTACGCCCGTTTAAACGTGCCATATTTTCAAACACCACAATATCGTCACAATTATTTCTTTTTTAAAATCTTTTCGAAACACGTACTTTGAAACTATAGGTTTACAGCAATCAATATTTATGACGTATTAATTCATTCAGTTTTTAACCGATTAGAAGCATGACAAAGTATGTCAAACTGATAAGTAAATAACAAGGGCAAAGTGGCGGTGTGTCGGCTCGTTTACTAGCATACGTACAGAACTTAATATCTGAAATGAAAAGGAAAAAGCTATTTGAAATTAGATGCTTCGTAACAAATGCCGGTAAATATTGCAAGTTCGAGAGAAGGAACAGTATAGGTTGGGTTAGAAGTCGAAAGGGGCCACAGCGACGTTTGGCGCGTTGAATCATAAAACACACGCTGTGACGATCAGATCTCTGCTCGGTTGGCCGGTGATACCGATCGAACCGGGACACCCCGTATATAAGAGCAGGCCACTCGGCCGGCGAGGCACAGTGCGGTCCGATGAGATAGGTAGAACCGATTCTCTAGTCTAGTGGCGTGTAAGATCTCGACAGGAGAGAACGTGCCAAGTTCCAACGATGTTGCGTTGACCGCGACCGGAAACGTTGAAAACCGCTCTAATACTTCCTCTTCTCGAGCCTTGAACTCCGTCGGTGTCGTGGTTCGATCCAACCATTTTCCACCCGACTGTAATGCGACAACTTTGTTCACTAAATTGAAGAATCTAAAGGCTCTGCAGAGGTGAGTGGGAAATTTTTCTTTCTTTTTCTTTCATCGAAAGAGGAAAAAGACTTATCTCATCATCGGTTCGAAGAATTTCGAACAATTCCATCGACCTCCAGACAACTGTCTCGACTGTTTTGCACATTTTTTTAGCACACGTAGAAGGATTTTAATGATGAACAGAGATCATGCGTCTGACACACGTGTCAGTCTTTCTTCTGATTTGGCGCGCAGTGAACCTTGTGTAAAATTAACAGGACAGCGATTCTCGTTCCTGGTTCAAGCGCATTCTCTTCATTTTCTATTGGCAAATTTCATTAAGGCGTCTCAGTTTGGTGAATATTTCTTTGCTGGTTCAACTTCTTGGCACACATCTTTTTTATTTTTAACGAAATGATTATTTCAGAAAACAATAGTATTATCACTTGTGTCAGCGGTCATTTAAAATTAAACGAACAATGATAAATGTAAAAACTCAGGTTTAATCTCCGTGTTCAAATGTTATATTGTAAACATTCAAATGACTAATATATCACAATTTGCTTTCATCAGATAATAAAGGAAAGCATACAAATAAGATTAATTAGTGAATCAGTTTATTCACAACGCAACAGATAGATAAACGATTTTCAAAATTTGTTAATCTAATCTCAAGTTGCTTAGAAAAATTAAAAGTGATGAACAATCAAATTAAAAATTTACCGACACACATTGATATAATTAGATAAAGGGGCGAGGGTGGGCCCGCCCCCTCCCCTCAAATATGGACTGGACCTCTCACCATTCTAAAATTGTTAATATTTAAAAATTTCAAAATAATTAATAAATAATTAATAAATTCCAAAATTTCCAAGGGATCAGGGCCCTCCACCCAAAAATCTGAGTTATATCATTCCAATACCTCGATGAAGGAAAATTCAAAAGCAAACCCCTTCGAAATGTCATTGAAGAAATATGATAAGTAAATCTAACGAAGGAAACTTCGAATCGTTCGAAGTGGTTGGAAAGAATCCACAGAAACGCGTGCCAACACGCTTCGAAGAATTTCCACGTGGCACACGCGTTTTCCATAGGACAGATCGACACTATTCGCGAGGACATCGTTCCCATCGCTATAGTAATTGTTACATTCTCGCAGTATCTATCCGAAGAATTAGGGACAACGACGACACTGTGTACGAGGAAACGATTTGATGCTTTGGGAAGGGAAGTCTGCTCTCGTAGGAGGGCACCGTGCCAGGAAGCCGATATTGCTGTGAACGACACCCTATGGGACGCTCACGAGGTGTACCTATGTTTGCATCATTGCTAAATACATTCATTCTGTTAATGTTAACATTAACAGAATGTATTCTATAATTGCAAAATTGTACATTATTTTTCTAGTTGTTTACAAATACTGAAATGCGTACATTAGATATCGCATTATCAGTTTGTATAAATGATTACGTAGCACTTGACTGCGATGTTCCAAAGAATGTTGATCATCCGAGTAATGATAGAGCAATCTTATTGATGTAAGATGATCTAATGTCACGTCTGGAATTATTGAGAGTCAATACTAAGTCTCTTGCATCTTGTACTGGTGTAATTAGGATTTTTTTCTGGGAAAAATCTCTAAGCTTTATTAATAGTGACAAGTCTGTAGAATTTTGAAATTCTAGAATTTCAGAACCTCAGAAGTATAAAATTGTATACTGTAGGATTTTAGAATCATGGAATAGCGAGGGGGCCAGTTCACATTTTCAGGAGGACCAATTCACATTTTTAGGGGTTAGGTTAGCCTAACCTAACCATCCTAGTCCCTGCCTAATTTAATTTTTCTGTTTATAATAAAATAAATAAATATTACTTATTGTTGTATCGCGATTCATTTCTTATCACAGGAAATGCACAGAGAAATGTGGTGCTTAAGTTTTCTTTTAATCGGCGCGGCGATGGCCGGAGAATCGGGGCCTGAGATCACCTACCCCGAAACTCCGATCGAATACTCGCCTCTACCACACGAAGAAGATCTTCCTCCACCATCGCCGCTTCCTGGCATGCTTTATCCACGGGAAAGTGAATCGCGAGAGGTAATCGATTTTTCACTGTTAACCCTTTTTCACCCTAACGATCACGAGTCCTAACACATTTCTTCTTTCTTTGAATATAAATATTTCAATATAACTGTTTTGTAGTAAATGAATCTTTATAGGTAAAATCCCTGGATGGCATGTGGGACTTTGTAATTTCACCCTCAGAAGATTCGTTGAAGGGTTACAAAGAATCGTGGTTCTCCGATGACTTGTCAAAGGTATCGTAACAAAGCTTCAAAGAATTTAAACTTTAAATTTGTTAAATAATTGTGAAAATACTTGGACAAGTCTTATGGGTTCACCCAGTTGCGCGGCTAGGGGGGTCGGAATCCTCAACTGACCCCATGGTTACGCCACTAGGTTTACTTCCGCGTGTCGTTATGCGTTCATATAATTATCAAACTATTAAAAAGGAAATGGAAGTAATACTCACACGTTTTTACACGAACATATGGGAATTTGTGTTGCGTAAATGTGAATCTCGCAAATTACAGATTATCAACAAGGATTCATTTATGTAGATGTACCGCTTCATGTAGGTAGGAAAAGTGATGCAAATGCCTGTTCCTTCGTCGTACAACGATATCACAACCTCGAGGGAATTGAGAGATCATCTTGGGGCTGTTTGGTATCAGCGAACGTTCTTCACGCCTTCTTCTTGGCGCGAACAAAGGGTCTTCGTTAGATTCGGCTCCGTTAATTACCTCGCTCAAGTGGTAAGTTACACTAATTTCTATCAACAGAAAAAATATCTTCATAGTAAGTAAAGGACTAACACAGTGCCAATACCAATGATGTATAAAACTTACGAAATTAAAGTTCTTCTTGGATTTCAGTGGATAAACGGTGGATTGGTAACCGGTCACGAAATAGGCCACCTTCCATTCGAAGCTGATATATCCTCCTACTTGATTTATGGGGGGAAAAATCGCATAACAGTCGCGGTGGATAACAGCTTGCTTCAGACGAGCGTACCACAGGGGAAAATTGTTGAAACTGCTGTTGATAATGGGACGGTGCACTTGCAGTCTTACACTTTTGATTTCTTCAACTACGCTGGCATACATAGGTGAGTTTAAAAATGATCATGCCGAATCCTCCCGATCAAGCTTCATCATTAGCGCGTTCTGAATTCCTTCGAGTATTTAATTAAATGAAATTTGCGAAGCAAATCACCAGCGACTTCCAACGGCAATTAACATATTAACTAGACAGAACGTACATCGCATAATAGACTCGTTGACCCATCTGTGCAACTTTCGGAAAATTCATGTCGTTGAACGTTGAAAAGGTTCGCAACAACTATGAGATTGGCGCTGATAAACAAACAAAGTTGAACTACCAGTGCAGAACAGTTTATTTATCCTGAAATAAAAGCAAGATTCAACCACTTTCCTACGAGATACGTTTGATACCATTGAACTAACGCGAGATTGAATTGTGCAGACCTGTTTTACTACACACGAAACCACGGGTCTACGTCGAGGACATTTCACTGAGAACGGGACTGATCGGTGATGTTGGTATCGTAAAATACATCATTCAACCGGCCGGCTTACACGAGCATGAAATTCCTATCTGTAGAGTGAGCCTTCTCGATGCCGAGGAGATCGTAGCCGTAAAGGAGCCGGTTTACGGATTTTCCGGTACGTTGAAAGTACCATCCGCTAAGCTATGGTGGCCCAGGGGTATGTCCACCGACCCTGGATACATGTACACTTTGGAGGTAGAACATTACTTTGTTTAATTACCTATTTGTACAAATACCCTCGGAAGTTTAGCTAAGATAATTTCAATCTTAGGTCACACTGTCCATGTTGAACGATAGCGGAGTAGATGTCTACAGGATGCCGGTTGGTATCAGGACATTGACCTGGACAAACACCAGTTTATTGTTGAACGATAAGCCCCTGTACATGAGAGGATTCGGTAGGCACGAGGATTCGATCATAAGAGGACGTGGTCTGGACTTGGTTACCGTAGCCAGGGATCATGAATTATTACAATGGGTCGGTGCAAATGCCTACAGGACTAGCCATTATCCTTACAGCGACGAAGTCCTCGACGTGGCTGACCGGTGATTCTAACTTTAACATTTTGCATATTACAAAAGTTTACATATTACTGTTAAATATAAAAAGGAATATCGTTTGATAAAAAAGTGGATTTCAGGACTAATAACATTTTACTTTATTTCTTTAAAGATTAGGTTTTTTGATTATCGACGAGTGCCCGTCCGTGGACACCGAGAACTTTACGCCTATCCTCCTTTCGCGTCATAAGGACTCATTATCCGAGCTTATAAGGAGAGACAAGAACCGTCCTTCGGTGATCATGTGGTCGATCGCAAACGAGCCTAGGACGCAGCTATCAGAAGCTGGAGAATATTTTAAACAGGTGGCTCATCACACGAAAGCACTCGATCCTACCAGGCCAGTTACTATTGCTATGGCACGATCAGTTCAGGTTACTTTTATTTTATTATTTTACATCTTCACAATACATGAACCTCCACGAAGCTGTTGCTCCTACGTTCCTTAAAAAATATGAAACACTCGATTAATACAATATAACTATAGCGAGGACGATTCATTTGTAGGAGGATAAGGCCGGGGAATATCTTGATGTGATTAGTTTTAATCGTTACAATGCTTGGTACAATAACCCAGGTAGATTGGATACAATAACGAACCGAGTTATAGGAGAAGCGGAGGCCTGGAATAAAAAATATAACAAGCCTGTACTTATGTCCGAGTATGGAGCTGATACTATGTCTGGATTACACGAAGTATGTTTTTTAATAATTACAATATTTCAAAAGAATCAAAAAGCGATTACATTTTCTTTTTCTTTAATTTTTTATATCTGATAGTTTTTAAAAATTCAGGTTTACGAGGTTTACGCTCGATGTTACATTAATTTTGTTGCACTATATTATGTTACAATCTTTTAGTTGCCCGAATATGTATGGAGCGAAGAATATCAGAAAGAAGTGTTCTCTAGACATTTCAAAGCTTTCGATCAATTAAGAAACAAAGGTTTCTTCATTGGAGAATTTATTTGGAATTTTGCAGATTTCAGAACAGCTCAAAGTAAGTGAATATAAGAAATTATAATTCGATATAAGAAATTTTAATCAAATGACAATAAAACTTAATTAGATTCGTATATAGCATTCATTAGAGTAGGCGGCAATAAAAAAGGCATATTCACGAGGGAGAGACAACCAAAAATGGCAGCATTTCACGTTAGGAAGAGATATCACTCCCTCCAAAAGGAACTAGATGGGACAGATATACCGACGGATCTCGAAAATTACATTTCGTTTCATTATTAATATCTTTTTTAACACTTCGCAATTTTTTGTAAACAAATTTTTTAAAAAAGTGTCATTTGTCTGTACATGTATGTGTTAAAATGTCAAATTATCATCAATGTACATTTATGTACTTTCACGTTTAATAATTACATAAATTAATTAATTTTTTAATAAACATTTGATAAAAAGATTGATGGAAAACTTATTCTAATTTGGTATCTCTCTATCCTAAAATTAGTATTGTAACATAAGGTTGTAAGGAGTATGTCATTTTTATACCTTCCTTTGTAATGTACCAATTTCAATAGTATCACAGTATATAATGATGGTCCAGTTTTGGTCCAACTTTATGCAGTTCTATGCGTATCAACATGGTTGATCATCAACTGGTGGTTCTACAACTTTTAAGCACTCATTTGCCATTTCCACAAATATTGGTTCAGTCATAGCCAAAGCAATAACCTTTGTTGGATTTTTGTCAGTCAAAATTGCACGCATGATATTTCTTACATGAGGATTCTTTAAACAATTTCTCAAATCCTCATTATAACGCAATTGTTCTAGTTTTTCAATGGGAACTGTATCCTCTGTAGGAAATTCATACTTGATAAGTTCTGGTTTATCTTCTTTAACTTCACCTTGCTGAGATTCCTCTGGCTGGCAATTACTTTCTTTATGCTCCTTATAGCAAACTACAGAACAACTAACATAAACATGAAAAATACTTATTAATTTTTCGTATTAAATACATCGGTAAAACCTTAATATAAAACTTATGCAAAAAAGAATGGATGATTAAATGAATAGATCAACTGCACTATGATAATTATACACATAACCTTTAATGTACTTACTATGGTATTTTGCATATGGGACACTTGTACGAACAATCTGTTTTATCACATATGCAACAAATTTTAGTCATTATAAAGTTTTTTAAAACAATTTCACTTTAATTTCGTTGATTTTCCGAATACTATTTGGCGGTTCTTTTCATGCAGTCACATGGAGTGCGCAGAATTGTTCGTGTTCAACCACGTGATTGCAGCAGCACCACCTACGGAAAAAATGTGCAATTTTAAATATAGTTAAAATTATTACACAAAATTAATCAGTTTTAAATTTAGTATTTAAACCTTATCATTGCCAAGCTCACGTTATATCCTAAAATTATAATAAGTTATGAACTTAATATATAACGGAATTTGTTATTTTAGCTTTAATTTCACTGGGCAGAACCAAGAACCTGGAAACCCCGGGAAACTTTCCTGGGAGGACCGGGAAATCGGTAACCCGGGACCCCAGAGGGGCAACTTGGAACTGTACATAAAGTAAAGGAAAAAATATTTTTGTTCTCAGCATCCGTTCTTTTGGCCACATTTAAAATGTTATCACACTTGATATTCTTATCATGAGTCGTAGTGAAATGCGGTATCCTTTACGAGAAACTTAAATCGTTTTTAATAACTAAAGTAATGGAAATTACACTCTTTCAATAACAAACGATGTTCAAACATAGAACAAAATATTGCATAAGTAAAAGCATTAATTGTGTTCTTCATAAAATTAAGCCAAAATCGTGTTGCTCACAACGTTCAGTAAAAAGAACTTGAGCTTAAATATCAAATTATTTGACACGATAAATTTATAATTAAAAGTTGTCGTACAATTGTCGTTTCCTAATTTACAAAGTACTTGATATCTTTTAAATCTATGTGCTCGTTCCCATAATTCAGCCGTGATGCTTGCTATCCTTATTTCGAGGAAAGAGTAGAGAGGTCTAGTTGCGAGCGTGGAATTTTTGATTCCGCTTCATAGCGCAACAGATGCGAATGGAACTTTCTTCCTTGCGAACGATCGCATGTCCTGGCATTACTCGTGCCAAGGTCATTGATTCCTCGAGCAGTTCCGGCTTAGTTTCTGGGCCAGGTTAACCGACCTAGCAGTGCTACCAACACCGACCGGAATACCATCACCGGCCGTGACGTTGACACATCACGATACCACTGTTCGGACAACCGGACACAATCGAACCGATAACGAGTCCCGTACACGACTCTACTTTCGGATCGGTTTGCAAATCTTCACTCGTGTTGCTATTCTTCCTCCGTTCAATCTCCATTGGCGTAGAAACTTTGACTGTCTGCTTTGCTTCAACCAAATTCAGTACCTTACTTATAACACCTATCGCTCTTATAAATGAGACGGCTAAATTCTACCTTTGCTTAATAACTTCTGAACCATATTATCGAAGTTCTCTTAATTGTAGTAGACTTTAATTTGATTATCCTGATTTAGGTTAGAAACGAATCAAAGGTTCGTTAACGCATTGATCGTAGTCGTATATGTAACCTTACTTATACTACATGGTAATGTGGATTATTAAAGCTATTAGGGATTCATTTCTTTTGATTTGATACTTAAAATTACTATTCTGAATATTGATTCTTTCTGGCGGTCGCCACCAGTGATTACCATGGCAGTTAACGCGTTAATCAGTTTTTAGCAAACTAGCATTAGCATAAATATTCTTTTAATAGATTTCCGGTTGGTAAAGTGTGTTTTCCATTAAAACATACGTTAATTGTTCAATGAATCTGGTTGTACATTCGTATACATAAATATACACGATGTTGTGAAAATTTTCGGGCTCACCTTGAGAAGGTCGCATGAGTCTTCTATTCTTTGTCGAGGGCGAAGGAATGCTTCGCAAACAAAGAATAGCGGGGAAAAAGCAGGTACACATGAGTACGTTGGAGAAAAGGAATTACCATTGCTAAGTCGATAAAAGGATGCAATGACCTAGTGAGAAATGACAGAAAACCGTGTTCGAAACTGTGCCAAATAGCAGTTATTGTTCCCTGTACATGGGCCTTTCTTCTCGTTTCTCGAGATTATTATAAATCTCTGAAACGTTACGCTTGCAATATCATCAGTGACCAGTGAATATCGGAGTGATACTGTTTACAAGCTCCTGTAAAATGCTGTCCAGCGCCGATTTGAATTGCGAAATTGTAGGACCTCCGGAGGTTCAAGTTCCTCGAATGACGTCAGACTCAGCAGAGAGTCAGATGACGAGCCACGACGATGATCGCGTACGATGACGTTGCCAGGGCAAGTCAAGGCAAGGCAAAGCAAGGCAAGGCAAGGCAAGACAAGGCAAGGCAACGGCGGACCCAAGAGGAGGAAGGAATAACAGGAATCTCGTTTCGTGGCCTCCTGGTTGGCCAGTTCTTTCCAGTGCTTCGCAACGTCGAGTTGTCGCGGTCAGCGTGCCGATCGTGCCAGAGATGGAGACACCGTATCCGATCGCGACTTCCTTCTCGTAAATCATCTACAGGGAATGACAGTGACCCACTTGCCGGTTCCAGTTGCCTGCACGACTTCTTCACGACACTCGAAATAATTCGACGTGATTCTAGAGATGTTGCCAGTTACCTCGCGGAACCGAGTTGATACGTGATCAACCGTTGCATGATCGTTTCTGTGCAATTGTTGTCGCTCGAAGGACGGCCGGATTCAGGAAGGAATTTTCGACCGCCGACAGGACACGTGGGTGCCAGTGTCGTCGAGATAAGTATCGTCCCTTTTCGATGCCTTTTAACGTTCATCATTTATGAAGGGATTCATTCATCCGATAACTTGTTAGAAATAAGGTTTATTCATGCCGCTCGTTGCAGTGGTAGTCGTAATGTGTTGCCGCGAACGGAATATTTACGACGGACGAATCTTTTTTACATATCATTAATAGGAAATTGTCGTTACTCGGTTTTGTGTCAGTTGATTCTAGTTATTATCACGACGAGCCAGATTTGGCAAGAACACTTGTTTCAATAAAGTCTACGTCACTTGGTAATTCTAATTTTTACGCTGACGTTATTTATAATCGGCTCGTGCACGCCTCTTTCCTCTATGTAAACGATACTCCTTCCTGTTGATCGTAGAGTCTACGAACTGTCGTTGTTTCGATCGTTTCTAACGCACACCAGACACCGACGATCTCGTGGAATTGCAACGTAATCGAAACCCGTGCCAGTTGCTTCTGTCGACACGTTCTACTTCGGCTCTTCCGCATCCTTTCCATATCCGGGCTACGGAACTCGATTGTCCGCTACTGGCCGTTCGGCTTACCACCATTTTTCTATATTTTTTCCTTTTTCCACGATACTTCAACGATTTCATTGAAAATGTTCGTTGCAATTACGCGACCACTTTAATCGAAGATGATCAGATATTTCAGTTGTAACTTACGCGTCTCCTAAATCAGATAATCACTCTGTATGTTATGTAAATATTACAAGAACTTCTGCACGCAACTATGATGTTCATTATGTAATCGTATACAATGCAAATTAAATTTCAAGTCGCCTACTCGAAAAGATAAAAGAACAAGAAATGCTAAGCAATTTAATGCTTGACTCGTTTTTATCTTAATATAAGATGTTTCAAATTATAAGCTTTATTATATGTACATAAAATAGTAACAAAAAATGATTGAAAGGATTATTCGACAATAATCGAACAAGTTTGGAATTCAGCGACTCTTGGAATGCTATGCACTCTCTGATCTTGTTGCTGAATAATCGGGTGCGATTCAGGAACGCGGAAACTTTGATCCAGTCGGTCATAGCTAAAGTTTCAAGAACGATTTGCTCGACAAAGCAAAAGGATCACGCATATAATCGGCAATCAATTGTGCCTCCTGTGTCATCATCATTCCCTTCCTTTGACGCTTTTCTCCGCACCTAAGATTACATACACAACTATTGTTAGATTATTAGTAATTGATTGGACAATTACATTGCATGATCTATTAGAAAACAGGTAGTTCTGTAGTTACCTATGATTACTGTTTGGTTAATGCTACCAGCATCCATTCACAGCTACTTGAGTTTGAATTATTTAATATTAAAATAAAATATAGAATATTAATATTAAGTACTGAATATTCAGTATTAATTTTAATTGGTATTTTGCTTCGACTCAATGCTGAATGAAGGGGAGGTCTAAGGGGGTTACAACCTCGGACCCTACTTTACAGGGGCCCGGTAAGGGTTTGATAACCTCGGGCCCCAGAAATTTTAATTCAGTCCTGCCTCGTCTAATACCATTAGCGAAAGAAAAATTAGATTAGAAAAAACTTAATAAGTATTCCGCAGTTAGTGAGGGTCATTCAACTTTTCACTACTCTACAATTTATACTAATCACGTAAATCCGCTTATTTAACGGAATGTAGCGATTGCTAGTGATTCAACAGTAAATACGACCGTTTTAAAATAAACTCACAGATAACGATGATAACAAATAATAATCACTTTCTCCATATTTTGATGTTATTGAATTATGCAACATCGGCGTAAGTCATTCCGCTTGTTGCACGATCCGAATCTGTTTTATAGAAGGAAATTTCCAAGCGACGTTTTCGCTCGACAACCATGCGCGATAAAAGGATCGAAATTCTCCGCTATCGATATAAAACAATTTCGAAAGATCCTCGACGCCGGTTTCTCGTTGCAATTGTATGAAAATTCATCGACTTCCCGCTGTTTCGTTGAAAAATTTCTACGCTGCAAAACGAACGAAATCTCGCTGACAAAATTTTGTCAATGACTTTTTCGTGAACCGTGACGGCACGATAAAAACGAGGCTCGCTAATTGGTTAAAGATGCGCGGATCTTGTTCAGATTTACGTAACACGTGAATTCGCCAGCCACGATAACGCGAATGTCGGTGACGAGACCACGATCCGTTTTAATTTCTCGTTAAAAATCGACATTATCCGTCTTCGACATCGTCCTGGCCCTACTGCATAGGACGGGACAGAGAAAATCAAGCTGACACGAGAATAGTGAGTAAAAAGAAAAAGGAAGAAGATAAAATTAACGTAACAAAAGGCGATACAACAGTCGTCACAGAATTGACACTTTCAAGATGATAGTCTTTCTATCGGTAGCCAGTCAGGAATTCTAATGACGTCACATACGTAACATCTGTCCTCGTGGTTGCTCGAACAACGTTCCAAGAATCGTAGAAACACGTTGCTTCCCACACTAACACAGACGACTGAAGGAAATTAAAATCGCAAGGCGGCCGGTCTCTTGTTAGCGTCTCGGTTCAAGGTATTTTCAAATCTTTAAACGAGGAACTGAATATTTCTGAAACGATATTTCGCGCACCGAATCTATAGTAGTTACGACGCGTCGTTTCGCACGCTTGAAATCCAAGACTGCCTACACCATGTAGTTGAGAGTGTGTAAAACTTAAAACTTCATGTTGGTTCGAAATTAAAAGGATTTCGGGGATATAGTAATGATCACCTTTATTTTTTCAGACATCCTGCATTATTTTTGCGAAAAGTTTCAGAATTCAAGTTGAAGTTCAAATACATGGTATCTGATCAAGAGTGGTGTGTCCGGATGAGGTCTTCATCGACCGTGACTGCATATTTTATGGTCGGTGGGACTTTCGTCCGTTTGCAACACTCCCTGGATTCATCGGAATTATACGTCCGCTTCAATGGAAATTTTAGTTTCACGGAGAACACTTAGGCATATCATTAAAGCTATTCAGTAATAAAAGATGCATCGTGCATGTCTTCCTTATATTTCAAACAATTGTTGATGTGTAAGGATGAGTTAACTCATGAATTTATGTCTACTACAAATATGTATGCTAATAATTACTCAATCGCGTTTTACATAATATATCAACTTGTTAACTCGTCCTCCTTTGGTTAACAGCTTCATAATTTAGATACTATTTTAAGTGGTACCTATGTAAGTATTTATTTTCAGAGACTATACATACGTACTGTATACGTACATATGTGTATCTTCCTACCTAAATTGCTTGACAAGAATTTAATCGAAGTACCAAAATAGTTTTACATTAATTAATCGTTTCTCGTAGGATTCTAGAAATAATCTGATTATTTATCATGTTTTTTCCTCAAGATTGTACCATTTTCAGCGTTACTATCTCCTAGTACGTTCGCTGACAAACATTGTAACAAGCTCTATGTATTCCATGCTGTGTATGCATGTGTTCACGCGACTAACGACCGCTAGAATACAAAGTGCAATGTTTTCATCCTCTGACCGGTATCGTTGGAACCTGCACTGGAATGGCATCGTTCCGCTGCTGGAACACGCAGCCATCACGCGGCAATCGACTGAAGATTATTCATGGATTCGCGTACCGGCTTAATCAGCCCTCTCATATACCTCTTCGTTTCAACTGACATTTTAGTTATTCCTTCCTTGGACATTTGACAGTTCCGATCTTCGATCGTTGCCTCGTTACAGGCACATTAGAGCAGCAGTACGGCAAAAGGTAAGTTGAAATTTCAGATCGTAAACGATCGATCGATACGTTGCAGAGTTAAATTCACAAACTTCAAGGAGGTTAATAAAAACCTTGATGAAACCACAGACGTAGTACAACTGTTTGCTCACGTTTACGGTGTTAAGGCTTGTTACGCGAATTTTGCACTGATAACTTTTTAAATATCGGATCAATTCGATTGTTGATCGGTATTCTATAACGTTTATCGAAATTTCCTGTACGCTTCTGCGCACGCAATTTCAATTTTATCGAACAGCTATGTTTTTAAATTAATGTATTATATTTTTTATGTTATTTTTGTAATATCTTGCCGATACGATAACTTTGTAACTTATATAGTGAAATATATTCTCTAGTAACAGTATTTTAAATATTAATATGACGGAAAAATTTACATTTGTTGATAATGTCTTTTTTGCACAGTATTCATCGATGATTGATAACTCGAATGCTCGCTTCTTTGTAGTCGATATTAATTGAACTATCGAACAAGCGTACTCGATTTCTTCCTGTATATAAAAAGAATTATTAATATTAATAATAAACACCTAATTAATCGTATAGATTGAACAGCAAACTTTTATTTATTGCTTCTTTTAACTTCAGTCTCTTTTACGTTATTATTGATTCGGATTATCGATCGTATGTAACAATATCAACCTGAGATATAATTAGCTGAAAGAAAATTCTATTTAGATACACTAGCGAAACAATTCACTAAATTATTCATTAACAACTTGTTAATTATAATTAGTGCAATTGAATGATTCAATAATAATTCTTTATTACGACATAATTGTATATATTACATATTATACGAATATTGTATAATATATAATACATTAAATGAAATAAAGTAGATATAAAAACATTGATATAACGTGTATTTTTAAAAACTACTTAGCTACAACTTTTAAACAAGATTTCGCGCAGTTTATCAAAAAATTATCAAAAATGTGCTGCCATTTATACATTCATCCTTCAATTATATAAAAATAAATACGATAGAATTCATTCGTCTCGCTTTGCATCACTAATTAAGAGAAGACGTCTAGGGATGATAAGATTATAATTAGTCGAGAGACACTTTGTAACGAATTCGAAACCGAAGGAATTAACTACGGTATAATAAAATGGAACGCAGCTGATACAAATTCATCAAAAATAAGAAAAAGAAATTTTTGCAATTTTATTGTTTCTAGATTTAAGTATTCAGCCATAGGAAACATAAACATAGAAAAGCAGAATGTCGTCATCCACGGTAAACGTATTGAAGGATAAATCGATTCAAGAGGAAATTCGTTCCGATTCGACGATGGTTAGGAAACCAGTGAAGATCGTAGGAGCGTCTCCTCTGGAAAATAACCGAACGAAAGAATGCAACGAATTAAAGACAGAAAGGAAGGATCCGAAGAAGGATGAAGAAACTGAGAAACGTAAAATATCGCAACTGCAAAATGAAAATTTACCCAAAACTCAAAAGCAAGATTCAAAACTCAAAATCGTAGAGTCGAAAACTATCGTAACGAAAAAGGAAACGAAGAAAACGGAAGTTGTAGTTCCTAAAGTATCGAGCAGTACTACCGCCACACAGACCTTTGTACCGGAATTCAAAATGATTCCCATTTCTAGTACATCTGTAAGTTTAAAACCATAAATAATACAATTAAATTTTTACACGTCATTTTAATTTTTTTGATTAAACTTTGTCTTAGGGGACCAAAAATTAACGGGTCCAAAATATGTGTTCTTGTAGTTTTTGAGCTGAAAAGTCCGAAAATGCAAATTAAAAGTTTAGGAAACCAATAGTTTAAAAGATACGAGTATATAAAAATGTGTGTAAGTACTTGGCGTACTTTGATAGGTCAGTACAATGCCATATTGACTCTTCCCCGCATCCAATCCTTTGTTTGGACTCTATTTGTTGGGTGTGAGTACCATCAGTTCCTATCAAATCCGAGGGGATATTGTTTATAAAAAGAAACTTAACCTTAGGTATACCGGGTTTAGGCCACCACTTATATAATTTTGTTTTACCGACGGCGACTCCACTCATTGGACAATATGGTGTTGTACTGACCTGTCAAAGTACGCCAAGTAAGTATACCGCAGTTCACCAGAGTCCATAACTGCGAAAAGACCAGTTTTCGTTCTTCGCGCTTCTCCAGTGCGCATCTTCGCCCTGATTGGCGATACTCCCAAACGAAGTGGAAAGCG